GTGCAGACCAAATCTGGCACGGGAAAGGCATCTGGGAAATCCCTCGTGGGCGAGTTCAACTGGCATGGTATGTCTTGCGCGGTCAGGAGAAGTCTCTGTTGTCCGACCGTGATGATGCTCACTGTTGTCTTCTCTATTCAGATGTGCTCGTGCCTGAAAACGCCGGAGCCGGTCTCACCAAATGGCATTACCAACGTCGAACCCTCGTGCAGTACGCGTGCCTGTTCGCAGCTGGACTCACGTCGTTCTACAAGTTCCAGTCCCCTGCTCTTCGGGCCGCCGGTCTGGGTCTTCTCTTCCCGGGAGCTGGTCTCGTCGCCGTCTGTACGATTCCTTCGATCCTGTCATTTGTGGTCTCCTGTGCTCTGATCCCCTTGGTTCTCTTTGCGTGGTTCGGGATGGGCGGCTTGGTTTTTCCCATTGCCCTCTGGGTTGGCACCGCCGCACTCTCAGCAGTGCTGGCAAAAGAGTCCGTCTTGGAGCTCGCCGGCCCCTTGATGTCGGCCGTGTGCGTAGGTGGTATTATCTACCTGGCCTATGCCTGCCAGCGGGCCAACGCCGAGGCACGGAAGAAGCGAGCAGCTCGCAACAGCTACCTGGTCGAGGAGGTCCAGAGAAACCAAACACATGCAGCTGCGGCTCCCGAGCCAGGCACGCGGGAGGTCGACGAGAAGACTCTGCGCTTTGTGCAGTGGTACCTGGAACTCGGCCTGACCCCCAAGGATGATTTCTCGTACCACGACGTGATCGACCAGTTCCAGACGTCGGCCATTCGATACCAGCTCTACGAGGCTGTCAATTGCCTGGGCATGTACCAGAACGTCTACTGCCCCAATTTCCACGGCTACCTGTCTCAGGCACAACGTAACGCCATTGACAAGAGGTGGGTGTCCTTGTCACAACTAGACACGGCCTGGCGCTAACCTGTCCCATCTACAGCTTTACCAAGAAGGTGATGGAGTAAGTGTCCGATTCCTTTTTGCGAGTGTATCCCCTTTGTGGGAGCGGCTCCTGCTACACACGAGAACCCTTTTTACTCACTCTTCGCAGCTTCTGGAAATGGGAGTCCATGGCCGGCAAGTTCAACGCCCACGACTGGGACCCCTGCAAGAAAGACAACATCATGGTGACGGGCTACATCCTGCAAGCCGTGGGCATCTACCAATCCAACACGGGCGACGACCGCTACACCAAGCCCGGCAGCATGACCTTTGAGATTACCGACTCGCTCAAGTTTCCCTACGACCTTCGAGGGGTGGCCGACGCCGTGTACAGGAACATGAACGAGGCGGCGTACTGCCTCTACCCTTGCGAGCCCAACTGGCTCTACACGCCCTGCAAGTGAGTTGGTCCCTTCAGCCCTTCACCCTTAGACCCTCGATCTGGCTCGACCTCGATGGAGTGATGTCGTCACTTGTAAACTGACATGTTCCTGCTCAGTCTGGTCGGCATCGGCGGCATTCTCCTCACCGACCGTCTTCTGGGCAACAAGTACGGCGAGGAACTGCGCGGGCGGTTCGAGCACGCCCTGGAGACCGAGTTCAGCGAGCCAGATGGGACGATCCTGCCGATCCGCAGCGAACTTACTGGCTTCACGGTACGTTTTCTTCGCCAGTGAGATGTTGTGCGTGGACTGATTGTCAAAAAAAGATTCCTGGCCTCGCGGGAGCCATGTCCGACATGGTGAATTCGATCCTCTGCGCCTCGTATCTGCCTCACATTGCACACCGAAACTGGGGTAAGTTTCATTCATTCTCCCTTCTTCTTCCCGTCCCATCGAGCAACATACGCTACTGGACCCTACCACGGAAACCAAAAGAAACACCACTAACCATTGCAAAACGCTTTGTTGTTATTTTAGCCTTTGCCAAAAAGGAAACTCTCCGCTACAACGACCAGGGCCGACTGGAAGTGCGCAACCTGCTGGGCGCCGACATGCTGGACGCGGGCAACTACAAGTCGGGCGAAGGGGCAATCCGGACCATCTGCGCGGCCGCGGCGGCCGAGTACGGCGACGAGGCGATGCGGGTGGAGCTCCTTCGCCAGCTCGACGACGAGTACCACCCGGTGTTTGCGACCAAGACCGGGGCGCTCAAGAACCGCGGCGTCAGCACGCTCGCACAGGGCACGACGCTGCGCGCCCGTCTCGGCCGCTTCCAGGACTGGACGACCATGATCCAGCGCGGGCCGCCGGCGCACGTCTTCCGCGCTCCGGTCCTCGACGCCGTCGCCTTCCCCGACGTGCTCGTCGCAAAATGCTACAGCCGCGACGGCGAGAGCGTCGATCTCGTCCTCTACAACGGCCGCGAGCCCGGCGTGTTCCGTCTGGGCTTCACCCGGTGCGAGCCCGGTCAGACATATGCCCTGCTGGGCCAGGAGGCCGTTGCTGCGCAGGACGGCACCGTGGCGTTTGACGTGAGGATCGACGGGCGGACCGAGGGGCGGTTGGAGCGCGTCAAGGCGAATTGAGCGATGTGTCGTGAAGGAGAAAGAAGGGGAGGTTGTCTCTTTCTTTTCTTTTCTTTTGCGTGCAGTACAGTGTGGTGCAAGGCAATGTAAATCCCTCGGAGAGAGAGAGATGCACAGATGATGATGTCCTCGGACCTGAAGACCAAGACGTCCCGACCCAACAACAAGTTTAGTATGATATACCATTCTTCTCGACTCAAATTGACTCTGGCAAGATTCTCGTGGATAATTCCCACCACCCGTGCCCGGATCTGGTTCAGCCTTGCCTTGCCTAACCCAAGATCCCACTTAAACCATACGTATCATACGAGTAAGCGAGTTGACGAGAAGAGAGATCAAGGCCCTATGAATTAGTTATCGTACAAGAACGCCGCGGTACCTCGTCCTTTCCTTTGCTTTGCTTTGGAAAGCATTGTTTTTTTTTTTTTTTTTGAGATGAAATGAAAGGGGCTTTGCGATGCGAGTAAATCAATGGCAAGACAGGGCGTAGGATTCGATTCGATTGGAGCTGAGCTGAGGTGCACTGGGCTTGACTGGACTGGCAGCTGGTAGCTGGTCAACGACAACGACCACAAACGCAACCAGCTAGGTAGCCAGGTAGCCAGCCTTCGCATTTTATCACTACATGTACTGTACCTCGTACATATATGTACGTACTTGTACCCACCGATACCTACCCAGCCACAGCCTGCCAGCTTGCCAGTGCCAGCCTACCCACTACATACGACATCGTGGCCAGACCCTACCTGCGCAGGTGTACGCAGCTGTGCGCATGCGCGCTCCTTTTGCTTCGTGTGATATGCACCTCGCATGCATAGAGAGGTCTGAAAGCACCGCGGCACCTTACACAGCTTCCTATCTTCCCAACCTCCTAGCTTCTGACCGCCCGCCGTCCGTCAAACCCGCCTGGGCAATACACACAACTCCGCCCATCGCCCATCGCCCATCGGATTTCCGTAGCGCATTTGTGCATTGTGCGTAGCGTCGTGCGTCTGACTCGACATTTCGGTCGGCTTCACTTTTTCACTTTTTCACCCCACCCTCGTATTGATACCCGTCTATCTACCGAGTACCTACCTATTGTACCTACATAGCTCGCTATAGGTGCCTTGGCAAAAAGGAAACAAGCTGAAAAGTTCCAGTCTACCTAGACGGAGGTTCGGTTCCTCGGGGTTCCCTTGGGTTTCCTGTGTGGAGGTAAGAAGTTAAAAAGATCGCGTGGGATTCCTTTCCGAGGAAAGAAAAATACTTGGACAGGACCGAGAAACTCGACTTGGATCATTGGAGGAGGGGCGGCGACGCGGGTAGCGATAAGGCTAGGAAGGAAGAAGCTGGGGGAGGCTGGAGACTGGAGGCCGCAAGCTGGACCACGGGAGATGGGGATTGAGATGGAGCTTGAGCCCATCATGATCCTAGGTAGAGCAACAAGGTATGTACCGAGTACTGAACCGATATAGTGCTTATCAACGAGCGGGGAGATCAAAGGATTTTGCTTGATAAGAAGAGAACAACGGCAGAACAAAGGGAAGCCTGATTACTCTGATACTCGAGAAACTCTGGGGATGCAAGGATTGCTAATGATTGGGGCCAATCGTCCGATAAGCTTGATATTCCTGCCCGAGCATCGACTACGACACCTGTACCGACTCGACGGAGTATTCGCATCTACTGCAAGGCCACCAGCTGCGAGGCTTGCTCTTCGTCGACAATCAAAGGTTCAGAGAATTTCAAAATGGCGCAATCAATCATACTTGTATACAAAATCTACCAGCCACGTCATGCATCCCTATACCAAGCCCGCCTCTTCCGCACAAACTCGCACCTTCTCCGGCGGAGGAATGCGTCGACTCCACCAAGCAGTACTTGATGTGGCTAGGATCTTGGCCTTGGTACCTTGGTGCCATGCTCTTTGTGCCTGACTGCCTGGGAAAAGCTTCCTCATCCTCCTCGCTCTGACTGGCCCACAACATGATCCACCGTAGTAGCCAGGATGAGATCTTGGTGCTGCATGTCTCACCGTGTGACGTACAGCTCCGTGGCTTTCATAATTGCTTCAGTTTATCTTGGCCAACAGGCACAATGTCGCAATGAAACTTTTATCCACGGATTGCTACAGTAGTCTCCACATACCGAGCATGGTGTCTTGTGTCGTAGGTATCTTCCCAAGTTGGTACCTGTTGAGATGTGGCGATGTCGTCGTTTCCAATTGATCAGAGGGGAAAATGGAAAATGCCGTGCACATTTCCGCGGCAGTCTTTCGACACAAGACGGTGGTCAACAGCTGTGATGTTATCCCAAAAGTCGTTGCCAATTCCATGTTGGCTAGATCGAGGCTCACTGTGTATCTCCGTGTCAGTCGTCTTTGAATGCGCTGGAGGTGCTTCGGCCATTGGCCGTTTTGTTGCCGGGTTATATTTTGGAGGTTCGGGTCCACACGGGACCTGTAGAATATGGGTTGACATGGGCTGAGGGTTGTCATTGCCTTGATACCATATTACACGCTGAATCGCTTCGTCGCTGTACATGTAGAATCACAAAGAGATCACATCCATAGAGAGCACCTTGTTGTAAAAAGTGACGTTCGTCGCCGAATCAAGGGCCTCGGAACCGAATGCAATATATCCAAGATAGTCTAAAAGGTATTGTTAGCAATGCACCAGGAGATTCGCCTCAAAATGCGTTCCAACAATCGCTCACCATTCACAGTAGGGCCTCCCAGCCCGGTCAGACCTTGCAGCAGAGGGCCTATATCGGCGTTGAAGGTTTGCACGCCAGCCGCAGCATCGCTAGCCACCCATGAAAGGACGCTTTGGCCGAGACCATTGACACCGGAATAGAGCGAGAAGGTGGTCCCGTTGACGACCTGGGTGGCGATGGCTCCTTCTGCCAGACCAATCTGCTGCGTCGACGCACCAAATTGACCCAGCCAAATCATGACTTCGTACTTGGCTTCCTCGACGTTGGTGGCCTTGTCCGGATCGGAATCCAAAAACATATCGACTGCCACATTGGCATCCAGTGCAGCAGCAGTCAGGTCGGCGATGTTCATAGCCTCGGGTCTTTCATCGCCAACTCCATAGTACCATTCAGTCTCAAAGTTGATAGCAGAGACCTGGGAGATCTCGATCGGAAACACATTCGAGTCGAGTTTGATATTGGAAAATGCGTGAACGGGCTGTGTGGGAGGACCACGGGGAAACTGCCACTGCACATCATCTGTCAGAGCCGCGCCACGACGACAAAAATAAATTGAGAGACATGACTTACAGTGATCGACCACTCTGGGGCGGTGGTCTTGGTCGGGTAAGAGCCATTCTGTTCATCATCAGCATCACGTGACAGGAATTGGGGAACCGCCGCCTGATCGTCATGATCCTGCACGCAGTCTTTGCAAAGCGAGACGTACGCTCAAAGTGGTAACCTGGCAACTGGCGTCAGTGTCAGGTTCATCGTCTATCCCCAGGTCAACTGCTTACATTCATACACAATGCGCCTGGTCCAGTATAGTCGTCGGGGAGTGCCCATTGGTTTGGGTTTCTGGGAAGGATTGAGATTGTCAGCTTTCTGTTGTCTGAATAGTGATTGGTCACGGCCTTGATTTGACCGATAAAGTAGCGTCGGCGGTCGGAAGGTATATCCACAAGCACCAAAGCTGGCAGAAGCCGGACAAACTCCCTGCAGATAGCGGATCCTTGCCACGCTGAATAAAGCCAGTCCCGACTGGGTGATGGTCCAGGTACACGAAAAACCTTGACAACTTAAAGTTGTCAAACATGACAGGGGTACTGATAGTTGCGCGTGCAAGGACACGCACACCACTTGGGTTATTGGGGGGAGATCATAAAACCACTCACAATGTATATTCTTGGCCATTTGAGAACGGATGGACACCGAAAGCCTTTTGACAATATACTGATGACTTGATCGAGTTGTCGATAAAGGGGTTCGAGGGAAGTCCTTTGGACTCGCGATATGCTTGAATGCCCAGTAGTACGCTGATGGTGACCGCGATAGGGATGAGGACAAAGCCGAATGAGACGAGAGACCTGACGCCCATGTTCGCGGGCGAAGGCGGGTGTCTGCGCTGAAGGATTGCTGTAGAAGGGTGGCAGCAGAGAATCGAATGACCGACCAGGCGAGGGGATGGTGAAAAATGAATTGAGCGACCTTCGAGACGGAGAATGCCTTGATTTGATAGTTAAGAGGAAAGAAGAGCGATGACGCCGATGGATGGTTGGGGAGACTGCGCTGTGAGGAAAACTGCGAGGGTGAAGAGACGCGTGCTTCCCGGTTTCCCAGTGCAGCAGAAGCCGGAGAATCAGCTGGATCGATCCGGGCAGTGCAGCTGATACAGATGCAAATAATGCAGCTTCTGGCGACAAGGACAGGCGCCGGCTCGTGGTGGTTTGTATGATGGGAAACAATGTGGCGAGTGATAATTTTGTTTCAGTCTCGGGCAAGATTTAAAAAAGAAAATGGTTCGACCACAATTGGCCCGTCGGATGGAGCCCGTTTCAGCAAATCTTCTGTTATCCGCAAGACACAACCTAGACAAGTGGCCTGGCTGGGTGTCTCTGCCGTACCTGTCGGCGTCGCCAGACTGAGAATTTGGGGGGATTGAAGGGGTTGAGGCAGCTGGTTTGTGGCCATTGGGGGAGCGCGGGAGGGGTGACAGGGGGAGCACCGGCCAGGAGATTTGCAAGCCCTTGGCGGACCAGTGGCACCCCGACGCACCAGTGGCGTATGTGGCCCACCCTCCGGAAATCCCTCTAGGCCAGATCAAGTTTTAGCGCGCCCCAGCCCACTCTCGCTTGCTTAGGCGTGCTTTTGGCCGCGTATGGTTGGTCTTGTTTTTCATCTTCACGCCCCCCTGGCCCCTGCTGCTAGCCTCGTCACTTGGACTCGCGGCTTGCCAATTTGCATGTTTTTCCCAAATTGCCTTGCCTTGTTTGCCCAGCGCGCGCCCCCGGAACAAAGGTTGTCAAGATGCTTAGCGACTCCGTTCAGGCACGAGTCCCTCGTATCCTCGCAGGCAAGGCCCTCGCTAATCCGTACCGCCCCCGTTATCATCGTCAAAAAAGCCTTGTTAGAAGCTCTTGGGCTCCATCTGTTCTCCGTAACCCTGGTCTTTCCCCAATAACAATCACATCGTCGGCCCCCTCCCCAGCCTTTCCGGGTTCTGTGCGCTGCACTGGCCCATCGGCAATGTCACGGTGGTGATCTGCTACTGCTTCCCACTTGCGGGCCCCAACCACTCCACTATGACATGATAAGGTCGTTAAGATGTACACCTACTTGGACTGTAGCGCAGAAAACAGACCAACGCCTCTTCCTGGACCAAACCCAGTTTATCGTCTGTCAAACTCTGCCACTCACCCTTCACTCTTCTCGTGTAGTCCGTCTCGATCCTCTCTACCTATCCCTCGTTTTTGTATAATCACAAGTCAGACAGTCGTTGGAGGCTTCAACTCAGGTTGAATACCCTCGCTCATACATTCGTTATTCCTCCTACCCACGCTTAATACAACCAAGGGGTCAGCAAGATCACGTCCTGGGGAAGCGGATGATGAAGACGCTCGTTCAGTGACACGACATCACGCATTCCGGGCCACAACCTGCTCAAAGCTTCACCCTTGTATCCTCCCTCTCTCTCCTACACCACCCTCGTTTTCCACCACAATGCCTCCTCTACGTAAAGGGGATCGAAGGAGATCCGAACAACCACCCATGACCGAGTTGTCGACGGTATCGATGCAGTCCACGCTACGAGAGTCTCAAGAGTCATTCATTGAAAAGCCTACAACGGTTCATCCGGTATATGGGAGATATAGAGAAAGCGCGTCCATCGAACAGCCCACGCTGGCGCGGAGACCGGGTTTATCAGACCTCCACAACAGAACCCTCTCAGATCTCATGACCGAGAGCATTGCGGACAGTACGTTGGAACCACCGAATGGCGGATATCCGTCGTTTGCTCCCAGCGCAGGCTCGACCTGGTCAGAGTCGCAGACGCGTAGCTCATCTCCTTATCCGGTACCGTCACCTTTCGTAAGTCCGAGCCTCTTTTACAGAAATCAGGCCCACTGACCGTCTATAGCGAAGTCAAGAAACATTAAAACCCCTGGTTCCCGACGCCCCCTCGACTTTCTTCAAGAAAGATTGGGTCAAGGAAGGATCAATCGCCCAGCTCCATTCGAGAGACGACAAAGAGTTCCTGTCGGGCAAGAAGAGATGGCTTTTCCGCTGGATAGCACCACTTCTCTGCCTGATTTCGCTCTCTCTGTATTGGTTCTATTTCGGCCTGCGTATTGCCTTTATCATCGACGCCCAGCATCACTACGCCGCCCCGTTCCCTCTGGCGTGGGTCTTTGTGGCCATTGAAATCTCCATTGCGGTGCCGATTTTCATGCAGACTCTGTGGTCCCTGTTCATCTTGAAGAAACGCCACAGGCCAAAGCTGAGGCTCGTCGGCAACGATGTCCCCACGGTCGACGTGTTTATCACGTGCTGTGGTGAGGACGACGATCTAGTTCTCGACACGGTTCGTGCAGCTTGTGACTTGGACTATCCTCAAGACCGATTCCGCGTCATCCTCCTCGACGATGGCAAATCAGACCCGCTCAAGAACGTGCTGGAAGAGATGCGAGAGACATTTCCCAACGTCTATTACATGCGGCGTCCCAAGTTCCCCGGTGTTCCTCACCATTTCAAGGCTGGCAATCTGAACTACGGACTGGACGCGGTACAGAGCTTGCCCGGCGGTTCCTCGGAATTCATGGCCGCGTTGGACGCCGATATGATACCTGAACAACAATGGCTCAGAGCCGTGCTCCCCCATCTGCTGATCGACGACAAAATGGGTCTCGCCTGTCCCCCGCAGCTCTTTTACAATGTCCCCAGAGACGATCCCCTTTGCCAAAGTCTGGACTTCTTCGTCCACGTCTCGGAACCGGTCAAGGACGCGTTGGGTGTGGCATGGTGCACCGGGTCTGGATATGTTGCTCGAACTGTCGCTCTAGCCCAGATTGGCAATTTCCCCTGCGGATCGCTGGCTGAAGATGTCGCAACGAGTACCCTGCTGCTGGGTTCTGGCTGGAAGACGGCATTTGTTCACGAGGCGCTGCAATTCGGTACTGTGCCAGAAGACTATGGCGGTCATCTCAAGCAACGTACGCGGTGGGCAATCGGCACGGTGGATACTGCCTTCAAGCTTCGGTTCTGCCTCTGGGGCGACAAGGTCAAGCACATGACTTTTGCGCAGCGGTCGTCCAGCTTCATCTACGCCTTCCTCAGCTTGTTCAACATCTTTCTGACCCTCTCCATCTTTGCCATGCCGATTGTCCTGATCGCCAACAAGCCTCTCGTGGCATACGCAAACGACACCCAACTTCGGTGGTTGATCCGCGCTTGTTTTGCCAACATGGTATTCAACCGACTTTGCGAGTTTGTCCTTTTCATCCCAGCGGGATATGCCACGGGGCAGAGAGGCAGTCGGTACCAGCTCTGGATGGCTCCATACATCTCCCTCACCATCATCCGATCATTTGTCCTTCCGACCTGGCTCGGTGGACAAAGGCAAGCTTTCAAAGCCACCGGTTCGATCAAGTCTGCCTTGAACGAGCGAGACCCCAAACTACGAGCTCCAATGTGGCGACGAATCTGGACAATCTGCGTCAACTACCTCGCCGGCTTCCATGTGGCCTACGTGTACTTTGTCCTCGTGGCGGTGACCCTATCATCCTATCGGACGTTCCTGACCCAGCACACCACAAGGGGCAAACTTGTCGGTCTCTTGACCCACGCATTCTGGGTAAGCTTGTTTCCTGCTCTCTGCCAAATATGTACTGACCGTGACACAGCCCCCATTGGCGTGGTTGATCGTATGCTCGTCCTTTTGGATCCCCTTCACGTATGCGTGCGACCCTCCCAATTGCCCGGATCGAGAGGAACTCTTGGTGCGCGACCCAAAGACCAACGTCGCACACCCGACACCAGAAGCGAAGAAGATTGCATTTGCCCCGCAAACAGTCTTTTTCGAACTTGAATACTCCGTCACCACCGCGTTCACCGCGTTGGTGTTTGTGGCGGCATTTTTCTATTGAATCAAACAGCAAAAATTTAATGATGCAACGAGCATGTCCATGATTGTCGCCATGAGTTTGCGACAGTCCAAAACTGGATTCATTGAAGCGGAGCTACACACATCCACCAGGCATTTCGGTGGCAGCAGCCAGGCCTGGATTTTTGTACATACAATGGAGGAAACCTCCAACATAGACATACACGGCAGTCCTGGCGTTTTCGACATATGACGGAAGGAGGCGCTTATTGCTCGCGGCGGGTTTGGATGTCCGGACGGACCAGCAACAATCTGAGGATTGTCAGGCGGACCTGGGTATTAGGTGCACCAGGGGTGGATGTGCATGCCTATCTGATACACCATAATGACGGTATAATAGGGCAAAGGTGTTTGAGCTATGAGGAAAACATGGATAAGATGGTCCCATGAGATGGAGGGGGGATTTAGCAGACTACCAGTACCTAGTAGCGAATACTGTAGATGTATACAGTTCGTTGTAAATACACTCGTCTTGTCATCTTGGTGCTTACATTGTAGTGATTGTGATTGCATTTGGTTGAGGGTTGAGTTGCAGACTCGAGAGTACACCAAAAGAACATCTTCACCGCTTCAACACAACCGAGCAGTCTGTCTGGAACTTGTCTACCCGTGTCGATGCAGTGTTTCTCTGCACAGCCACCTCACATCATGTCACTTGATGTGACTCGACACAAAACACACAAGCAAGCACACACACAGCATATGTCCATATTTACTCGGCGCGATCAAGTACACGGTCAACGCGCACATGAATCCGCCTCCCTCATCCCTCATCCCTCGTCTCCTATCCAACGGACCCAAGACCAGTGGCTGACCTGGGATCTATCTTTTTCGACCTTTGAACTCACACGTCACATCCTGACGCCTGCCAGCCTGCCTACCTGCCGGCTATAGCCTCGCCTGTCCTCCGACGCCCGCGCCACCAGGCTGGTTCGAGACAAAAGACCCGTCCCGCTCTTCCCACTCGCTCAGCAGCGTCTTCTTGACTTGCATGAAGCGGCCTGTTCCTCTCCTGTGGGGTGGGGATGTCGCGTTAGTCAAATACGTGGTGGCACATCAGTTGGAGAGAGTGCCCATGTATCCATCCTGGGCATAAGAGTGCTAGACACCGGGCGCAAAATGAAGGAAAAGCGGGAGAAAAGAAGAAGGATTTTGACTCACGCCATGGCTCGAAACTCGGCCGTCTTGCCGTGCACGCCCAGCGATGCGAGGTCCTTGTACCGCTCGACCATGAGGACTTGGTCCGGGGCGTTGTTGTTCGTCATGACGCAGTATGTCAAGGTGCCGAACTCGTTGGCTTCGACCCAGTCGCAGAATTTTCTGGCGGGCGTGGTGCGTCAGTGATAGCTCCGGTGGGTATTTGGATGGTAGAGAAGAAATCTACAAGGGGGGAAGCAGGATCAAAGCGTACCCGAGCACGTCAATCAGCCCGGCCTTGCTGGCCTCACTGTCCTTGCACACGAACTTGGCCAGCATGACGATGCTGGCCTTGGGCGACTCTTTCTCATTCTTGCGCGCCACGAACCCAGCGACCGGCGTCCACTCGGAGATATCCATGTCGTTTTGGACGTCGTACAGGCCCTCGCGCGCCACGGTCGTGTGGTACTCGCGGTACTCGGGCGCGGGGGTCGTCTTGACCTTGTCGAGAGCGGCGCGCGACGTCCAGATCTCGACGACCCCAAACATGGTGTCCTTCTCGGCCGCGGGGACCATGCCCATGTTCGCCTTGGGGCGCGTCGCCGGCGTGAAGATGGTGCGTGTCGTGCATTGCGTGCTGGGGCGGCGGAAGAAGGGTGTCAGGCCGGCGTTGAGTTGGAGAGCCTATCCCAGGAGGGGGGGGGAAGTTAGTATCTCTGAGATGGTGTAGGGGTATTTGTTCGCTTGGCTGAGAGGGTGTAGGGTGTATCCGATGGAGTTTTCAGACGCTTGGGTCAGACTGATCGAATAGGTCACTCTTCCTCGCCATGCTCCTCCACTGCCTCAAACCAGAAGATACAAAAAGAAAAGGTGAGTCTATTGTACCTTATCCCTGTTCTCGGTGCTCTTGGGGTGTATCAGGGCCAGCAACGCAAAGGGCTTGTTCTCAGACGCCATATTGAGTTGAGAGTTGGATTGAGTCGAGGCGAGATTTATTTCGTTTTCGTCCTTTCCCTTTCTACGCAGGGTTTCTGCTCGAGGAATTCACAAGTCTTCCTTTCACTTTATGTCGTCGGATCTGAATGAGGGAGACGAAACGAGACAATCTCGGTTGTCGTTACGTTGGGCTCGAGGATGTGATACTCTCACTTCTTTCTTTTTTTGCCTTCAGTAATAATGATCCTACTTGATCTGATCTGATCACTTTCTCGAGAGGTGTAATACTCTTGATTACTATGCGAGTACGAGGGACAAGGGAAAGCATCGGGTATGTACAGTATCCACTGGTGCCAGGGACCACTTTGGGGATTTGCCTCGGCAAGGAAGCATTGATATCGCCGTCACCGTCGCCATCTGAGTCGCCTCTGCCACTGGGGACACTTTTTTTTTACCACTGTAATCTCTCTAAGCGGAGAGTGAGTCAAGTCGTTTGACCATCTGTTCGAGATATTCTGTTCCCTCATACCTCGGGCCTCACACCGGTGCCCGATTCTTTTGATTGTCTATTGACTGGCAGGGCTCATTGGGACGGAGAATGAAAATCGCCGAACAGTGCCGAGTACGAGGGGAGATGATTCGCATCCTCGCTCCTCGCTACTCACTACTCACAACTCACTACCGAGTAATTCGGTCCTCTGGGACGATATGTATCTGGGGCTAGAATTTCGCGTCTCTATGAGTCTACGGTATTGGGGTTGGTGAATATCGAAATAATAATAGGGGACCTAAAGGCCAACTCCGAGGACTTCTAGCGACTCGTACTGTTAATTGCCGAGTACAAGTCCTTGGTATGGGACAGGTACTGTAGGTAAACGGCCATTGAGTAAGTACTGTCGTGTACCTAGTGAGTGTTCCCAGGGGATGACGAGATGAGGCGACGAGACCACTCAGAAACCCCCGAAAACACATCAAGTCCTACTAGGTATGTATGTACATACATACATCAAGGTGCATACGTTATAAACGTCATGTACCGAGTCCGAGTAGATACTGTAATGTTCTCATTGTTTCTATGGTACCAATCTTCTAGTACTGATAGACATACTTCCATCTCTCCCTCGCTCTCTCGCGCGCGCGCGCGCACTCACTCCTTCCGCAGCCTCTTGATCGTCGGCCCCATCTCCTTGCCCGCCCTCAACGCCGCAAACGTCTTCTCGTCGATCTCGGCCCGCTCCTGACACAGCGCGACGACCTGCTCCACCAACGACGGCGGCACGACGACCACCCCGTCAACATCCCCGGCCAGGATGTCGCCCGGGTGGATCCACAGGTCGTCGTGGAACTGGAGCGGGACGTTGATCTCGGAGGCGCGCGTGAAGGTGTGCGAGCCGAGGATGGAGGTGGTTCGGGCGAAGACCTGGATGAGAGAAGCCCAGGGACGGCGGGTTAGCTTGGTGCCACTGCTGGTGTCACGGTGACGGTGACGATAAATGGACAGTGATAGTGATTGTGATTGTGATAGTGCTGGAATTCAAGGAAAGGTGTTCAGGATCCGGTATCCAGGTACCCGATCCGCCCGTGGAAGAGAAAGAACGGGAGGAAGAAAAAAAAAACATACTGGAAACCCCAGCTCGCGGTGCTCTCGCACATCACGCATCCGTCCATCAATAACAACCCCAGCGGCGCCCATGTGCCTGGCCCGCGTCGACATCAGCCCGCCCCAGCACGCCGAGTATGCGCCCCGGGGCTGCTGGATGTACATGATCTTGCCGGGCTCGTTGCAGTCGACAAAGTGGCGTGGAGGGCTCGGTGCCGCTTTCTGTGTCGACTCGACCATCTTGACCGTGACGGCCGGACCAAAGACGGTCGTCGTGGCATCGGTGGGCGAAAACATCTTGATCCCGTCGAGGAATCCCCCAAACGGGTATTTCAGCTTCACCAGCGCGTCGCCGATCTAGTGGGCCCTTCCCCCTCCCCGCAAGGGGTTTTCGCTCAGTAAACTCACGGGACGATGACAGAATATCCTGGAAGGGTGGAGGGATGGTTTGACTGGTTCTGAAAAGGACAAAAGACGGCATGAAAGGTGGAAGAAACTCACGTCGCAGGTGGTAAAGGCACGTAGTCGTTGCAGGCTGGCAGCCATGGCTATGGATGGTTATGCCTGTCCCCGTTGTCCCCGTTGTCCCGGTCTCTCCTGTCCAGTGTATCCCGTCCTGGCCCTCTGCTGAACGAATCTTTCGTAAGAGGTCTCTGTCGACCGACGTACCACGCCAAAGCAAAGCGGCTTATAATTGTTGACCGCAAAAGTAAAGGCGACACTTGTGGTACGTAATTACCTCGCACGCGTTTATAAGTTACAAAGTACAAGTAAGCTTTCCCCCAGGCTCGGCTTTTGCGGCACGAAACCTGAGAGTTGCGTGGTACAGTACGAGGTACATATTAGGTCAGTGGGCGGTGGCTTGTTATTGGCATTTGGCTGGCCGGAGGGTTTCCGTCCGCTGATCATCGGCCTCTGCTCCGTGTGGTCTTTCCGAATAGACAAAAATACAAAAGTAATAATCGCGAAGTAGAACGTGGAGGATGGAAAGGAGATTGTGAATGCAAAGTGCACCCGAACAATAGATGGCAACAGGCTATATTGGCTTGAAAGAGCCCTCTCCATGGATTGTAGCCTCCCACAAACGCTTTTCTACGCCCCTTTTGTGTCTGCTGCCACAGGCTCAACAACGAAGAAGATACTCTTCGCTCTGCGGAACGTGCTCCCTCACAACCTGCACGATCTCACGCCAGACCTTCTCCCGCAAAGCTTTTCCCTTTGGTCCTGTCGCTAGGTCGCCTCTTCTGTATCGCCAGCCAAGTCAGCTCTCCACCACACTTTTCAAACATTCCCTACCAAAAGAGGAGTAGTAGGTCAAGATGGCAAGGCAAAACAAGGCAAGGCAACTTACTTGTCAAAGACGTCGTGACTCCAGAACTGTCCGTTCGCATCCTCTCCCAAAGTCGTTCCACTGACGAGAATCCTGCTCCCTTCTTCAGCCGACCGGGCAAAGACCATTTGGAACAGGTGGGTCGGGAGTTTGAGAAGGAAAGAAAAGTCGCGGCCGAGAGTTGTGCGACACAGGTTTGGGCAGCATGTCGTGATGATGACGGCTGGGTCTTTGTGGCCTCCGGACGAGGAATGCTCTGCTGCCGCTGCTGCTGCTGCGACCAGTCCATCCATGACATACATCAGTAAGAGCTTGGTCGTGCAGTATTGCTGTTCGACGTCAAAGTATGTCTTGTCGTTGACGAGGTCTAGCACTCTCGGGCCGCTCTCCAGCGCCGCATCGAATGCGTCAGGCTTGACCATGCGGTGCCCGACACTGCCCACAAACTCCAGGTGGGATGGTTCGCCGGACCTCTCTGCGGACTCTCGAAGCTTGGGATAGAGTAGCACCGCAAGCAAAGCGGTCGACAGAGTATTGACCTGCAAAGACATCTCAAACCCTTCCGGAGAGCGCCGATAAGACGGCGCCGCCATGCCTGCATTGAGTACAGCGATGTCGACTCGGGATTCGTCCGCGCACACGTGTTTGGCAAATGATTTGACCGACCCAAAAGTGCTCATATCGAGCTGATATAGCTGGATGTCTGTATTCTTGTAACCTGATCGTCGGCAGATCTGATCTCGGGCCTCTTCGCCACGCTGTATTGATCTGACGCCAAGAATGAGACGCGAGGCACCCAGTGCGGCAAACTTGACTGCCGCTTCGAGGCCCAAGCCGGCGTTTGCACCCGTGATGAGGACGGTTTTGCCCCTGAAGGAAGAGTGAGGGTTCTCCGGCGGGTTCTAGAGTTTGGTCAGTCGCTTGCGTTCGAGTGGCCCGCACAAGGCTGTTGCGTCTGGGAGGTACCATCTTACTCGAGCACTCCACCACATGGCAGAGAGACCTTGGTGATCCGGAGGAGACGGTGTCATGGTGTCAGATTGAGTGATTGAGGTGCTGGAAGGATGCAGATGCTGTATAGAATCGACACCGAGCGTCGTGGGCGTAGCAACTGTTTTATTGCTTCTGTCGGAGCGAGTGTGGAGTCGAATCGGAACGTTTGGGTGAGGCTCCCTCAAATCCGCCCGAAAAGGACGCAAACCCTCCGAACGTCTCAGTCGATTTCACTTTGCGTTATTGACATTGATCATTCGCTTCAGATCGCTAAGGATGGTCCTCAGGGGCTCGCAAGGCCCCCGGGGTTCATGCAGCGGAGGCTCCTCCATGGCCTCTTCCTGCAACATCATGCGGAGCATTTTGGCGGATCCTGTCGTCTCCGAGACTCCTTGGCCCGCGATGGCCCCTTCTGAGACACCAAGCTTGGCTTCGAGCTTCGCAAGCATATCTTCGCTCACCTGAACAAGGATCTGGACTTGCAGATCGAGGCGCGATTCGAGGCTGAAGCCTGCCAAGTTGATGCCAGGAAACAGCTGAGGCAGGGGTTGTTGTAATGATAACAGAGCAGGCATCGAGTCGTGAATGCAGGAGAAGATGGTACGGTAGATGCGGATCAGACAAACGTAGCATGAAAAAAGAGAGAACGTTGTTGGAACGTCGCAGTGTAAGCTCCCATTACAGGTCTGTGTGGCCGGAAGGTGGTCAGGGTTCGAAGGACAAGAGGACGCTGGCGAGATCGAATCAAACGAATTCATGATGCCGAGGAGAGTCTTTGAATGCTCAAGCATTCGACCGACCAGGAAAGAAGAATTGTACGCCAACTCGGTAGGTAGGGATAGCTGGGCGCAATCGGCAGCCGTTTTACATGTCTTTGCAAGATCCAGATCAACGAGGATCTCCTTTTGCAGGTTGCCTAGCCTCTCGAGACTGTCACCGGAAGGGGTAATATGGGAATAGACCGGTTCGCCATTGTCGGGGAGAGCCTGGAATGTTTGTAATGCCTCCATATCCTGTTGCATAGCGTCTGGCCACCCGTTTCCGAGGCCATCGACGGAAATTGGTGCTAGTGGTATCTGCATCTCTTGACCAATGCCAGAATCTGCATCGGTGACGTCTGTAGGTGTGTGGAGCGTCTCCTGTAGAGACCATCCCTGCAAAAGATCGGAAGGCTGTCGCCTCAAGGATGGGCGTCCTGACTTGAGAGCGGCACCAGTGACACAGGCAACATTGGCTTTCGAGCACCGGCGACACTGTGCCGAGTCTGAAGAGCGATCGCACCGGAGCTTGTGGCGCCGACAGCGGTCGCAGGCAGAACGGCCATTGCCTTTGCCATCGCTAAGGGGATGAAACGTCTGCATCATTAGTGGCAGAGAAGGGTCCCATTTCAGGGACAGTCCAAGGTTTGAACCTTCTGAATTCTGCCCCGAAGGTGTTGCTGGTCCCTGTTTGATTGTGTGATCGGGGAGGTTCTGGATGAAAGACCAACAAGCAAATGCTCCGATATTGGGATCAGGCTAATAGTGCCAAGAAAAGAAATAGTGTGTATGACAGACTGTCATTTGAATGCTCAAGGCTATGAACCAATCACGGACTTCCTTGCCGCGTGCAAGGCTGCGAGGCACAAATGACACGAGGCTGGAGTCACTGTAGGAACAGTTGTCCCTTGTTCACAGGATTCTGAAGAGGTAGGTTGTATCATGTGGACTACACTCCAATTCCCACCGTCTATGTCAACCGCATCAAGACGAGCATGTCCATATCCAATCTCATCACAATAATACTGATACAAGCAAGCCTTGTCCTCAATATCCACATCCGCCTCCTGCATATCCTTGAAGTTGTCCTCATACCCTGCTACCGTGAATAGCACCATCAAGTGGATTGTAACCCCTTGACTGAGTTACTCCCATATGCTCTGCGGGTCGAGACCCATATCTTTTGTTTCATCCATTGTTTTCCTCAACATGATCAGACCATGCAACTAGTCTGACTCGTAGCCTGCAAGCATATCCTCGTTGAAAAAAGGCGAAGACAAAGTTTGATCCTTGTTTTGCCTGTTCCATCTCACCCGATAGGCGGGCTTGAACTCCGCCGCAAATTTCCTCAGTGGGCGCGAATCGTCTCTCCACATCGCCAGCCAGGCTCTGTGATCGCCACGACGTAGAGGCCATATCTGGCGCGGGAGAACATAACATTCAGTCGATTCTCGTTGAGAAACCCGGGGCTACGCACGACAGTGGGGTCCACGATAACCACGTCGTACTCCATGCCTTGCACGCTGTCGACGGTCTGCAGGACGACGTCTTTGGCAGCCGGATACTGCTTTTCCATTTGGGATTTTGATATCTTGAGCAATCTCTTCTGCTCAATATACGGCGTCAGAATGGCGATAGAGCAGGCCTTCCCAGGCCTTACGAAGCCCGCATCGAACAGATTCTGCAGAATTTTGAGCACCAATATGACGTATTCCTTACAGAATCTCGACAGGTGGTAGTTCCGTCCTTCTGTAGCGTCTTGTATGTTGTAGAAAACAACAGGTTCGGGAATGCCATACGTTTCTCGGTTATGTTCGATGATGTCTTTGGCAAGTTGATCGTCTTCCAGTTTCGACGTTCGACCATGTTGCAAAAGACCACCGTAGCAGACATTGCTGTAAATCTGGGCAATTTTCTCGACGGCTCGATATTGCACATTGAAGAAGGCCGACTTGAAACCTGCGGACTGAAGACGCTGTTGAAGTGACATTTCCAGCTGGTCTTGCAAAGGGTTTATTATCAACTTTCCGCTGTCCTTCGTATCATCTCCTTTGATCAGAGGACCCAGCTGGTTGGGATCTCCGACCAGGATCTTGCCAATTGCCTTGGTATAGAAGGCGAATAAAGGCCACATCTGGTATTCAGGCACTCGAGTAGCTTCGTCAACGACAATTAGCTCAGCTTCCGCGTAGTTGGTGCTGCAAAAGTCGTCCGCAGCTCCGCCAACGGTTGCACAAATGACCGAAGCGTGACTGATTGTATGGGCAAGAAGCTCGTCCAGTCTCAGATCAAGATTTGTCCAGTCCTTGGAGCTGAACAGATCACCGTTGGTGAATCGCGTATACAGGTCTGCGAATTCCGTGAACCGTCCTGCATCACAGAGCGGGCTCTCCCCACGTATTCCGGCGATCGAGAGCATCCTCTCGCCTGCAGAAAGCTCAATGACATTCACCCGCTCGTCGCTGACACCTTCGTACTTGCGTTCCATGTACGCCTCGCAATGGGCCAGAACTGTCGCGGCCTGTCCCGACATCGAAGGCTGTGGGGAAGGCTCACTGGTGGGAGGTCCGGTCTTTTTGGCGACCAAACTTGCTTCTCTTGCCAATTTCGCGTCTCTGAAGGCCACAGACTTCTCTGTCTTGATGCTGTGCAGGCGGATTACATATCGCCTACCCAGGCCCTCCCTTGTATGGATCGCCCGCCTAAGTTCTCCGTCCAGAGCTGTTGCAAGTGAATCGGCACTCGCGTTTGACGCTGCTGTGAGCAGCACACGGTGCTCTTTCGCATCGTCGAGAAGAAATGGCCTGACAGCCTGGATGATGAAATGGGTCTTACCCGTCCCAGGCCCGCCGTGGCAGAGGACGAGCCCAGCAGGAGCATCATGCCCGAATCGGATTGCTTCCTTTTGGCTCTCATTGAGAAACATCCCGTCCTCGTGTGAAAGAGAAGGGTCACTGAGGGATTCGAAAATATTGAGTCGAGTAATGTCATCTGGACAAGTTGCAACTAGTAGCTTTGAAATTCCACCATCTTTCGAGCGCGCTACCTTCGTCCTCAGGTCGCTCAATGCTCTGATAACATAAACAAATATGCTATGGCGGTCCTCCGGAATGACCCTGGCGCAGATAGTCGCCTCGTCAAGTAGACCCCATATCGCGGCCCGCATCCCACGGCCCTGTCGTATGGAATTAATCCTTGAAAATGAAGTGACAGGATAGGAGTTTGGGTCGTGATATCCATCTTTATTGGCGTCCTGGCGGCGTTCAATTGTAGCCCAAGCCACTTCTGGAGGGCCAGTCGCAACAGGTGGTAGGATGTTGATGACCCAGGGTCCGTGTGTGCGTTTTCGATCGTCGGCATGGAGATATGATGGGTCTGTGCGACTGTCTGACGAATTATCAACTATGATCGGCAGGGAAGAGTGCTTAGTCAGGTGAGCAGATGCCTTGTCTCCCGCTCTGAAATTCTCTTGACATCTCCTTGGGACCTTGAACAAACAGATGGTTCGGGTTTTGTTTCCTTCTTTGTGCTGTAGGAGCTTTATGGGCGTCTTGGATTCTCGATTCTTCTCTCTGTCGGCGAGAGCTGACTCGATAAGCGCACCAGACCCGAGCAAAGCGACGTATTCATCCCAGCTTTTAAAGGACTCTTTTGCCTTCTCCAGATAATCAGGGACATCCTCACGTTCGAGACAGCAGCGGTGATCAGGATCAATATATGTGTTGAAGAACGGCGCCCAAGTTTGTAGAGTCTCGGGCATCTTGCCGCAGCTGGGAAGTGTTGCTCGAAGAGGTTTCAACTGCGGAGATTGAATTCGGGAACTGATGATCGACGCTAGGAGCGGCAACTCTTCAACAGTCTGAATGGCAATGAAGATATGTGTAGTCGTCTGAATGAGTGTATCTGGGTAAAGAGACCTGGATCTCAAGATCAGAGGGATGCCAAATCACCGTAGGTCACTAGTGACAAAGAACTCACCTAAAATTTCACCGGACCTGAAAGATTTCAAGTCACTTGAGGTGCATGTACTGAGCAACAGGGCCACGTTTTGCCGTTATCTGATGGCAAAATGAGTGCAAGGTGAGGTCAAAATGATTGTCGCAAAGGTGTAGTAAAGGCGCTTGACGGCTCACTTTTCGTCAGATTGTTCGACCTCCACGTCTGGCCAAACAGATGAATTGAGAGGAAATTGAGGTAGTGAACCGGATTGAATATTGGCGTTGCACTGTCCTTTTTATCGTCAAGAGTGACCTGACAAATTAGAGAAGGACTGTTGACACGCAAGGAATTCACAAAGCAGCCTGTAAGGATTATGCAGGAAGCGAGAAAGAGAGACTGTGCTTAGTTTGATCAGCGAAGATTGTGAGGCGTTGGAGCTAGCTTAATGATCGAGACTTAATTCGCCAAGTTGAGTGTGATACTTGGCGCAGAGGCTTATTCACACAATGAAGACTTGTGACGTGCCAGAGGTTTATCAAACACTCCGTGTCGAGGGACAAAATAAACAAATCAACGCAGGTATTCGGCGTTACGAGAGGCCATGTTGGTTTCGCCAATTGCCTGGGGACTCGTTCCAAGCGCCATGCTGAGGGAGGACCCTCCGGACGTATTTCATTACCAAGCATGATTAATATCCTATTGTGCAAGGTAGTTGATAAACAACAATCGGAAGCAGTGGTGAAGTGAAAGGATGGAAAACGTGGTTCGGACAAGGGTGTGCGTAGCGGCTACCCCAGAGCCAAGACTAACCTTATTTTTATGCTTATAACTTGAGCTTCCGAACCCACTCTGAACAGGCATGATCGACTCTCAAGTCCTCAATCGACTTCGACTAACAATGGTTACTGTCATCTCTGCAGCATATGGGCAGCTATATCATAACAGAGGAATCTGGCTGGAATATCTCAGTAGTGGGCGATTCGTCCTGCTATGTACCGATTACTGTTATTCTGAATTGATTCTGCCGAAAAGGAGACAGACTTGGATACCGTTCGTCTGTGGCTGGTCCTTCTCTGCTGGTAAATCGCACACTGGATTTGGATCAGCGTGAAATATCAGAGGATGGGACTCGGTAGCATCGAAGAGTCCACTCGTCTGAAATCTGAGGCTCAATTACATGAGTATTCAAGCGATTGGCTCCTGGCAATGCTCTGAAGGACAAGGTTGGAAATTCTCTCTCGCAGGGGTGACAACCATGAGGGACACAATAGAAACAGGTGGAGAACTCTGCTCCTCCTCATGCTACCTTGCATGGATTCAGTGATGTCAATTTGTTAGCCCCAACCACTCGAGTCTCCTGGGGCTATGAGTCTCTGTCGTTACCTCAGACGTTGCTTGGACTATCGACCTTACTAATCAACAGCCCTGCTCATAAACTTGCTAGTTGATTGGTCAGAGCTGCGCTGCTCCACATGGCTAGTACCAGTGATTTAACTTTGTGGTCACGTGTAAGCACTAGTTTACTAATGGACTAGGCTCATCCATGATAGGTTAGTAGATAGTTAGTTTAGACTATAGTGGGATTGGGGGACTATAGCCCCGCAGGTCTTGCGACCGGCTCTTGGACTGGCGTGACTGGTCAGACGGACCACTTGGCAACACTGCAAAGATTCGATGCTTATGGGACCGAGCAAGAAGGCAGGTCTTACAAGACAAGAGAGCAAAAAGGTAAAATGAAGCAAGTTGAAAGTGTCGAGTGAGCTGAATGGTTGCACGATACTGCAGAGAGGCAGCGGGAAAGTTAGCCCAGATTTCAACTCGGGGGGCCGTCGAACTGTCATTATCCTTACCTGCGGAGAATTCCCATTCTGCCAAGCATTTAGATCGGTTGCGAAATGGGGGATGGCAAAGATCAGAAATGGACATCTATCTGAGGAATGCTTGATACCCCCGACGACATATATTTGTAGGCTGAGAAGGCCAGTGTAGAGCAGAATTGCAGAGAGACTTGAACCTGAGGAAATTGTGAAAATGCTGTTCTGTTAGTGCCCAATAAGCTCATTGGTTCTTGTTGGTTGAAGTTTCAGCTCGCTTCAAAGTGTCCACTGTGGAACGGTAATTGGTAGAGCTCCTCTCGGCGGCCACACCGGGGACTCAGGCAAGACTGAGCCCATTATTTAATGTTTCCTTCATCTATTAGAGTCTCAGATTTCCCTCCAACAATCACAACACTTGGGGATGGTGAGTACTTCCACAACACCCGCAAACAACAAAAACTAACAACACTACAGTGGTCTAGTGGTATGACGTTTCCTTAGCACTGAGCCTAGATAGGTAAAGTGGAAAAGGTTCAGGGTTCGATTCCCTGCTTCTCCAACAGTTTAAATATCTTTTTGGATCTTTTTTGGCTCAAATATTCAGTTTTTGGTGGCGGTGGTGGTGTTGAGCCGTGTGGCGGATAAGGGCCGAAAGTGGGCGAAAACGGGAAAGTTACACGGAAAAACCTTTGTTGCCCCGCATTCTCCAACTCTCAAATAATCCGGTTCTCGACCCCATTAGGCATCAGGGCACCAGGGCGCACCAGCAGTGTCCAACAAGGAGGCCCAACCCATCACCACCCACCTACCGCCAACCTTCTCATAATTTTTATGCCTAGGAACTGGAGAACAATTGCATGGATTGGCCTGTCTATCCCTGTGGCCTGTCTCAGGCCGCGTGTGTTTGCTGATATACAATTAGGAGTGGCACTAGACGAGCTCTCCTGAATCGTGCTACCGACATCCACCGCCTGTTGCCTCGAGGTTCAACAGGACGCCTCACTTTGATAGCCTCTGCGGAACTACCATGACATCTTTTACACTAACCGAAGGCACCGTTCGTTATATCGAGAGGTAATGGCCAGGTTCAATGGCCAGGTTCAACCTGGGCAATGGGGTAGACCGACCTTCCTGTTTGCTACCAAAATCTTATCGGTTTTATACAGATTGTACTGCAAATCAACAGCTTTATATTGCGAATGATCCTTCTACTGTCATTTCTGGAGTGAAACAAAGCTCCATGTCATAGAGATAGATCAACGACAACACACAAAGGCTCTGGAGTGCCTCTGAGGGTTCTCGGCTATACCTGGTAAGGGTAGTAGCCCATTGGACTGCTGACGGACCCCTTGAAGATCTCTATTGATCAGAGGGGGCTATCGAAGTGAGGCGTCCTGTTGAACCTCGAGGCAACAGGCGGTGGATGTCGGTAGCACGATTCAGGAGAGCTCGTCTAGTGCCACTCCTAATTGTATATCAGCAAACACACGCGGCCTGAGACAGGCCACAGGGATAGACAGGCCAATCCATGCAATTGTTCTCCAGTTCCTAGGCCTGACTTGCGTACCGGAGCAAGAGATATACATGTACTTGCAGTCTGGCCATGGCTCTTTTGTCACCCGGAGCCAGGGTCGTCGGTTATCGGCTATACAAACCCCCCCGGGGCGCTGGAGATTGTGGGGAGCGAACCACTGACAGAACTATGTGGGGACGGAGGATGTGTCTGCATCCAACGTCCTGTATGTTTGCTCACTGTGGTCGTCTTCGGTCCTTCGCTTCAGAAAGCTGCTGTGTATGTTGTGGTGAGACTTGTCTTCAATGATCTCTTCCTCCCAGAAAGGTCCGGGACCGGCCATGTCGATGCACAAGCCTGTTCGTCAACGTCGAGCTGGAAAGGCCTGTGAAAACTGCCGCGCACGTAAAGTCCGTTGCGATGTGACTGTCCGTGGCTCTCCGTGCCGCAACTGTGAGATCGATGAGACACCGTGCCTCATGGCTCGGTGCCGTCGCGGCAGGTAAGCGATCAAGTCGAATACACAGACCGCTACTAAACGTCGGTACAGGAAACACAAAGACTGGTATATCGGACTGGGCAGATCTCGGGGTGAGAATGCCGTCGCCAGGCCTGTTGATCGCAGAGAGGACGTCTTCTATACCAACCTTGACAGAATCACAGACGGCGTCCGACCCTCCACTAACATTTCTACCAATGCCATGGCGGTTCTGCATTCAATGACATCTTTGGGGGACGTGCCACCGAGTCTGGACAGACTTCAGCAACTATCTCCCCCACCCATTCAATCCCCGGAAGACATCCCTCCACCAGATTTACAATCACTCTTCCAGTCGTTCCCCAAGAGCTTTACAGATATTGACATGGCGTATCTCAGAAGCAAGGGTGCTCTCGACCTGCCCCACGAGAGGCTTCGGAACGAAACTATTCGATGTTACTTCGAATATATTCACCCCTTTATGCCCTTGCTCGACCCCACGGAGCTCTTGACTGTGGTTGATGGAAATGGCAGCCATGGTGCTGCACCAAGGCTCAGCTTGTTACTGTTTCACTGCGTCATGTTTGCGGCGGTGCCATTCGTCGAGGAGGCCCTCGTCAGAGAGGCAGGTTACGCCAATCTGAAGATGGCTCGAAGGGCATTCTTCGAAAAAGCAAAAGTATACTCCCCCTTGGGCCCTTCTGGACTGGACAATCAGCTCACACAGCTAGCTCCTGTACGATGCCGACTTTGAACACGACAGCATCACTATCATCCAGTCTGTGTTGCTCATGAGTTTTTGGTCCGACAGACAAACACAAGAAATCCACAAACAAACCTGGTATTGGGTCAACATTGCGATTTCAATTGCCCAGACCATCGGGCTGAACCAAGACCCTGAGCCGCTGCCACTGCCGCCCGAGAAGAAGAGTCTGCGACGACGTCTGTGGTGGTGCTGTTTCATGAGAGACCGGGTAACGTGCCTATACTTGAGCCGTCCGTTGCGGATCCAGCCAGAGGATTTCAACGTGGCTCTGCCAACGGTGGAGGACATGGAGATTGACAGGCCTTTGGCCTTTCGGAACTCAGAGGCGTGCCCGCACCGCCTCCTTCACCTCTCTTGTTACGACCAGACTACGCAGGTTGAGTTGGCCGAGATCTTCATCTCCTTCTTGAAACTCTGCAAAGTGATAGGAACCATCCTGTCTTCACAGTACTCTCCCGTCAGACCACCTTCTGGGCCTCGAAACAGGGCTACTCAGGCGGCGATGCCGACCATGCTCTTCCCCGTCCACAGCCCGAGTTCGGAGCAGAGTGCTGCAACGCCAACAGAGTCTACTATATCCCCCCTCGAGTTCACACTCCAAGAGTGGTACGACAGTTTGCCTCGTTCTGTCTCCTGGAAGATACAGCTAGAATCGCCCGGTTCAGTGTGGGATGGCCTTGCCCGAGAGGACATTCAATCTGCACAAAAGCATCCAGACACGAGGACAGACTCGACCAAACCGTCGAGCGTGGCGATTCAGCGCGCCATGTTGCACATGTGCTACTACACGGCTGTTTCCGCCTTGCATCGTTCCCAGAACCAGTCCCGCCACTCCCAACACCAAGTGTCGGATTCTGCGGACAAGATCGCCCAGATTTCAGCCTTTTTGAATGATAAAGGTCTCGTACGCTACCTCCCCGTGACCGCCATCACGATGTTGGTACCCAGCATCATCACGAGCGCTATGCGCATCAAAGGGATAGTTGAAGCGTCACATCGCGGAAGAAGTGACCCTGCCCGCGACGACGAGCTGGTCCGAGTACGAGACAATGTCAACAGCCTGTTGGTCTCCCTCAAAACCTTCCAGAGGGTGTACGTGGCAGCAGACTTGGTGGCAATGCTGGTCGAGGCCATGCTCAACCACGCCAGGATGAAGATCGTTGTGCCCCAGCTCGGTGATTGGGGAAGACTCTTTGCAGGAAATAGAGCGAGACATCGAGCCTTCGAGTTGGACGTTCAACTTGAATCGACAGAGTCACACAAAACCACGTCGGCGAAGCATAAACCACCGCCTGTTCCCGTGATTGCAAATGTACAGCAATCCCCAAGCCTAGAGACCGATACCGCCCTTTCGGCAGACCTACACAGCACTGACCTCAGTGCTTGTGCGACAGACGGGGACAACAGCTGGCAAGAGCTTATCGATCCCGGCGCCGGCCACGCCTTTGGTGTTGGGGTAGGTGAAAGTCTGTGGGACGCGGCGTTTAATCCCGACAACAATGATATGACGGGACAGTGGAACTTTGGCAGTATTGGGATTGACGGCTTTGACGAAAACATCGACGGGATGATACACTGGGATGGCACCGAGATGGACTGGCTTGCATGACGCGGGAGCGGGACAAAAAACCATGAACATGGCAGTCACCATTCCCTTATATGCGTTGATTTGTCCCGAAAATGTCTTGTATCTAGATAGCCACTAAACGGCACATGCAGAAGCGATGACCACTAGGTATTGCTATCTGAGACTCCGACGTGTTCCTCATCCAATGTCCTTGCCCGAACAAAAGACCTCACTATACCAAGTATACGGAAGTAGCCATTCTCGTTATCGAACCATGACTAGTCCGTCAGCCATACAAGTGGAAATGGAGAACAACTTCTTACCCCTTGTCAGGACCAACCGGCCTTTTCCTAGCCTAGGTACAAGAATGGTTCCGAAGGGCACGGCTATACTAGTACTGCCGCGTACGGCAACAATACCTATCATAGGTACATATGTCCACGACAGGCTGCCCAAAGTCAAAATTGTCATTTGGACTGATACAAAAGAACTGCTATCCCACTTTGACCTTTCCACAGCTGGTTATACTCGTATATTCTAGGTCTCCCTGACGAGCCAGACCATCAACACAATACCAACGGTAGCAAAAGCGACCCGCAAAAGCCAGGAGGAGTCCGAGGGGTCCCGAGGGTAGCAGTTCAGAGGACGTTCGGCCTTTTTAACCACACGAGGGAGTGAATTCGGCCTGCGGAGTTGGCGATTGAATTATAACTTTGAGACGGAGGTCATCGCAAGCAATTCTCCTCCACCATGCCGTTCCTGGCTCAAAAAAAGTTGAGCGTCCCAACGAAAGATCTGCTGTCGTGGATTTTCGACGGTGCAGACTATGACCCCAACAAGCCAGTAAGCAATTGGAGCCTGTACAAGAGTCGTGAAGTAGAGAGGCCAGCACTAAAGATATACACACCTTGACAGATCTATATCGACACCTCGAACCCCTCGCGAACACTATCCCTAAACCAGGGACTTGGCTTGGTCCGCAAACTCGCTGCTGGATTCCGAGCGGCGGGACTAAACAAGGGGGACTGTGTCTGTGTCCACTCTTTCAATGATGTAAGTTGATCATCTCCTTCTAGCTGTGACCCTGTCATTCACCCTCTCTGTCTGAAGCTGTTTCCGAACATTGACACTGGAACCACCTAGATCTATTACTCGGTCCTGTTCCTGGGAATCCTCGCCGCTGGGGGCATCTTCGTGGGGACGAACCCTGCGTACACGCCCTTCGAACTGACGCA